GAACAAACTACAGCAGTTGAGGGTGGACTCGCTGATGGCTCTGAGAATCAGTAAGGGTGAAAGCCATAGGGCATATACCAAAAGGTATTACGAGATGTTTAATCAAATACCCACGTGCAATCAAGAGGTGGTGGTCGTGTCTTTTAAGAACGGCTTGAAAGATGACTGTCTGCTTCGAAAGTCATTGGCAAAAACATTGCCAAAAAGTACGGAGGAACTCATGGCTAGAATTGAGAAATATGCGAGAGGCGATGAAGACACACAGGGGCAGAGGGCTGGAGAATGATGCTTGGGAATTGGATTTTACAAGCCGAGATTATGTTTAACACTTGTTGAAACTTGAGAAAAGTTTACAAGTTGAAGTTAAACCGAGATGATGTTTAACACTTGCTGAAACTTGAGAAAAGTTTACAAGTTGAAGTTAAACCGAGATTATGTTTAACACTTGTTGAAACTTGAGAAAAGTTTACAAGTTGAAGTTAAACCAAGATGATGTTTAATGCTTCCTGAAACTAAAAAAGTTAACAAGTTGAAGTTAAACCGAGATTATGTTAACACTTGTTGAAACTTGAGAAAAGTTTACAAGTTGAAGTTAAGCCGAGATTATGTTTAACACTTGTTGAAACTTGAGAAAAGTTTACAAGTTGAAGTTAAACCGAGATTATGTTTAATACTTATTGAAACTTGAGAAAAGTTTATAAGTTGAAGTTAAACCGAGATGATGTTTAACACTTGTTGAAACTCGAGAAAAGTTTACAAGTTGATGTTAAACCGAGATTATATTTAACACTTGTTGAAACTCGAGAAAAGTTTACAAGTTGAAGTTAAGCCGAGATTATGTTTAACACTTGTTGAAACTTGAGAAAAGTTTACAAGTTGAAGTTAAACCGAGATGATGTTTAACACTTGTTGAAACTTAAAAAGTTTACAAGTTGAAGTTAAACCGAGATGATGTTTAACACTTGTTGAAACTCAAAAAGTTTACAAGTTGAAGTTAAACCGAGATTATGTTTAACACTTGTTGAAACTTGAGAAAAGTTTACAGGTTAAAGTTAAACTGAGATGTTGTTTAACACTTGTTGAAACTTGAGAAAAGTTTACAAGTTGAACTTAAATCGGGATGTTGTTTAACACTTGTTGAAACTTGAGAAATGTTTACAAGTTGAAGTTAAACCGAGATTATGTTTGACACTTGTTAAAACTTAAAAAGTTTACAAGTTGAAGTTAAACCAAGGTGAAACACTTGTTGAAATTTTATGAAAAAATTTACAAGTTAAGCCAAGGTTATGTTGAAAGAAGTATCTACATACTTGCCGAGATTACACAGTTAAGGTATCCGTTGAAGACATGCAAATTATTCTAAAGCATTGATGAAAACAGACTATAAGTCTTGGTCATATTAAGCCGATGAATAATGACCTCGGTAGCAAATGATAGAGCAAGTTTAGTCGACGTGCTAAAAGGAATGATATAGGTTCCATCACCTCAGTATGCCGAGGTAATAGAACCTAGGAGGCAGTTGTGAGGATATTTTTTGAATGACAACACGTGGCCGAGGTGTCACTGAAGTGCCAGCCAAGGTGCCACGTGTCCTGATCATGACGCCGAGATCATCTTGGCTAGGCTGAGGTTATCTGCGAGAATACCGGAATCCGGGATAAGCGAATAAGGGATAAGAGTCCTAGAATGGGAGAAGACTTCAGTTTGTGTAAAGATAAGATGAGAAAAGTTTACAAGTTGAAAGTTAAGCCGAGATGATGTTTAACACTTGTTGAAACTTGAGAAAAGTTTACAAGTTGAAAGTTAAGCCGAGATGATGTTTAACACTTGTTGAAACTTGAGAAAAGTTTACAAGTTGAACTTAAACCGGGATGTTGTTTAACACTTGCTGAAACTCAAAAAGTTTACAAGTTGAAGTTAAACCGAGATTATGTTTAACACTTGTTGAAACTTGAGAAAAGTTTACAAGTTAAAGTTAAAGTTAAACCGGGATGTCGTTTAACACTTGTTGAAACTTGAGAAAAGTTTACAAGTTGAACTTAAACCGGGATGTTGTTTAACACTTGTTGAAACTTAAAATGTTTACAAGTTGAAGTTAAACCGAGATTATGTTTGACACTTGTTAAAACTTAAAAAGTTTACAAGTTGAAGTTAAACCAAGGTGAAACACTTGTTAAAATTTTATGAAAAAATTTACAAGTTAAGCCAAGGTTATGTCGAAAGAAGTATCTACATACTTGCCGAGATTACACAGTTAAGGTATCCGTTGAAGACATGCAAATTATTCTAAAGCATTGATGAAAACAGACTATAAGTCTTGGTCATATTAAGCCGATGAATAATGACCTTAGTAGCAAAGGATAGAGCAAGTTTAGCCGACGTGCTAAAAGGAATGATATAGGTTCCATCACCTCAGTATGCCGAGGTAATAGAACCTAGGAGGCAGTTATGAGGACATATTTTTTGAATGACAACATGTGGCCGAGGTGTCACCGAAGTGCCAGCCAAGGTGCCACATGTCCTGATCATGACGCCGAGATCATCTTGGCTAGGCCGAGGTTATTTGCGAGAATACCGGAGTCCGGGATAAGCGGATAAGGGATAAGAGTCCTAGAATGGGAGAAGACTTCAGTTTGGGTAAAGATAAGACTCTTAGAGAGTTTATCCTAATCCTAATGGGAGTCTAAGATTAGCAGTAATCCTAAGTCTTTTGAAGCTAGGCTTCTATTGAGACTAGGTTTGTGTTGGCTATAAAAGAGCACTACTATAAAAATAGTTAAAGATCACACTTTGACAAAAAAATATATCTCACTTTTATTGGAAGTGTGATCAAAAAAATTAGATTGATATTTTAATCACACTTAATTTGATTGGGTGTGATAATATTTATTTTTTATGTCACTTTTCAATTAAGTGTGATTATATATATATATTTTTTTATCACACTTTCTAGTTAAAGTGTGATTATATATACACTACTACTTTTTAATCACACTTTTTAAATAAGTGTGATTATATATATATTTTTTTTAATCACACATTCTAATTAAAGTGTGATTATTTATATATTTTTTAATCACACCTTCTAATTAAAGTGTGATTATATATACACTATTACTTTTTAATCACACTTTTTAAATAAGTGTGATTATATATATATTTTTTAATCACACATTCTAATTAAAGTGTGATTATTTATATATTTTTTAATTACACCTTCTAATTGAAGTGTGATTATATATACATTACTACTTTTTAATCACACTTTTTAAATTAGTGTGATTATATATATATATTTTAATCACACATTCTAATTCAAGTGTGATTATTTATATATTTTTTAATCACACTTTCTAATTAAAGTGTGATTATATACATTATTACTTTTTAATCACACTTTTTAAATAAGTGTGATTATATATATATATATATTTAATCACACTCCCCAAATAGGTGTGTTTGTATAAAATATTCCAATTTGATTTTTATATAAAATATACAATTCCCAATTTTTTTTAAAAAAAAAAAGCCCCAACACAAAAACACAAATTAAAAAAAAAAATTCAAAATACATTTAACTCGTTGGCTACTTCTAATCAAAAGGAAAAGTAGAAGGTTAGGGTTCATCACAAGGCGCAAGAGAGAGAGAGAGAGATGGAGTCATGGATGGCAATTTGAAACTGGCCCGATGGGGACTCGACCCCCCGACCTCGAATTGAGCGGGTTTTCTCCGAAAAATACCTCCGACGGGACGGGGATGGTATTTAAAAATCAATCCTCGAACAGATTTGGGCAGGGGACGGGGATCAGTGTCCCAGCCCTGTACCCGGCCGGCCCCGTCCCCGATCCCCGACCCGGTTTATCCCTGATGTTAAATTACAATTTTACCCTTATACATATATATAAACCACTGACTTTACCCTTATTTCACCTCAGATCTCATCTCTCTCTACACCCCGTCTCCGTCTCTCATCTCTCTCTAGCTCACTGACTTCTCTCTCTCTCTCTCTCAGATCTACCGCGCACCACACCGCGTCTCTCATCTCATCCACTCCCTCTCTTCTCGACGTCGCCGACCACCACTGCTGTCTAGCTCGTACCACCACCACCACCATCGCGTCTTTCATCCATTCCCTCTCTTCTTGACGTTGCCGACCACCACCGCCATCCAGCTCGCACTACCACCACCACCACCACCGCGTCTCTCATCAGATCAGATCTTTTTTTTGTTTTTGTTTTCAGATATGTTTCAGATCTGTCTCAGATCTGTTTCATAATTTTTTGTTTTTCTTTTTATGTCTGTTTTAGATCTGCCTTGGATGATGATGATGTTGTTGTATTTTCTGAATTTTTTTTTTCTTGTTTTCAGATTTGTTTCAGATCAGATAGATCTGTTTCACAATTTTTTTTTTTGTTTTTAGATCTATTTCAGATTTGTCGGATGATGATGTTGTTGTTGTATTTTTTGAATTTTTTTTTTAGCCAGGGAATGCTCGGGGTTGGGGAAACCCGATCCCCGTTGGGGGCGGGGGTGGGGGCAGTGATAGGTTCCCCGTCGGGGATCGGGGCCGGGTCGGGGGAAATTCGACCATCGGGGATCGGGAACGGGGAGTGTGTTCCTCGGCCCCGCCCCGTCCCGTTGCCATTCCTAGATGGAGTGCGTTCAATACTGTTGGGGGCAGAGTGTTTCTTACGATCGCCGTTTTCAGAGGCATCTCTCTTATCACCCCAAACCATCATCGCCTCGAAAAGCCCTTCGTTTGCGACGTCGGCATCGTCACCGGCAAGAAGCTTCTAGTCTTCGAAATTGTCTCCTTCAGCTTCTTCCTATTCTCCTCTTTAGTCACTGAGGGCCTCAAGCTCGCCATTAATCTCTTGAACATACAACAAAAAGAGTCTTTAACTAATGATGAAAATAAATTTTATCACAAAAGACGTACCTTTTAATGAAGAAAATAATCTTTCATCTCTAAATTAAATATTGTTAAAAGATAATTTAATTAATCTTAAACTTTAAATAAATTTATTATGAAAGTCCACAAGGCTAATAATAATAATAATAATAAAACAAGGAGAGTAATTATTTTAGGGTTAATAATATAAATACATAAATAAATAAAAACCTAAGTTCTTATTAACACAGCCTCCGCAGCCGTGAGAATGAGGGGGAAGGAGAAGAACAGCCACAGTCCAGGTCTTGGACTTAGGTTTCGTAGCTCTTGCTCTGGGCCACCATTATCACAGGTAAGAAAACTTCCATTTCTCTCTCTATTTTTCTGAAATCTGGTTCTTCTCTGATCTGATGAGTGAAATAGGTTTGAATTCAGTTCTGAAATGGTTTGATTTTTAAATTTCTTCCATGATTGAAATGGGTTTCTGAAATGATCTTTATTTTCTGAAAGGGGTTTCGGAATGGTTTCTATCATTGCACCGTTTCAAAAATGGTTTGTCATCTATATTTGCTGATTTTATTTTCTGAAAGGGGTTTCGAAATGATCTTTATTTGCTGATTTTGGATTGTTTTTTCTCTCGTCTGTATAGTTTCTCTGTGTATAGCAAAGATGAATCATGCTATATACTTTTTGTGTCTGCAAGGTGCTCGACAAAATGTCACAATGGCATTGCAAAGATGAGATTTGTCATCTCAGTTCTGTTATTTCTTGTGTTCATTTTATTTGGAGGTAAACACACCTTGGTACTTTTTCAAAAGCTTCAGTTTTGATTTGTATATATGTTTTTGCTTGATTTTGATTTTCTTGTTTTCAAAAATTGTAGTTGCGTATGATCCATTAGCTTCAGTTGTGGCTATACATGTTGTTAAGAGTCATTTTGTTATTTTTATTACTATATGGTTTACTAGAGTGGAATTTTAAGTGGTTTTCATTGATCAAAATTTTAATAAACAACAGAGAGTCTTAGTAATTAATTTCTGCTGTTAAAGATTTTGTATAACATAAATGTCTGCTGAACAATGCATGTGGTTTAAGGATGTGATACAAAGTGCTACTCTGTTTTTGTCTTTTCTTTTTTTCTTTTTCCCTTTAAATTAAAGAAAGTACATGGTTGTTGAAGTTGGGGAGAGTTTTAATTTTGTTGTTTATTTTATATGGAAGAAAGGCCTTTCTGGTTATATTTTTCTTCTAATCTCAGTTGTGTATAAATTTTCTGCAAAGTAGAATGAATATTATGTCATGCTAATAAATTATTCATTTTATTGTGTTGTCCATGTCAGAAAGCTTTTTATGTGTTCTCTAATAAGTAATGTTTCATTATAGTTGGCTTATTGACTCAAGTACTTATGAGTAATGAATCTTCCCAAACCCACCTATGATAGACATTTTGTACTTTGGTATCTTCTAGCATTAGTGGGAGCATTCAAAATTTGTGATCATGGTTCTTGAGGTATACAATTATCCATGTTATCTTTTTGCCTTTCCTAACTTAGGAATTGTTTGGTTGTCTTTTTTAATTACTTTTTGTCTATTTAAGCAAAAAAAATTAGATCATTTTGCTTGTTTGCAGTTCCTTTTGTACTCTATTCAACCAGACAAGTTTTATTAATTGCTCCTGCACAAATTAAGAGGTACTTCTATATTCTTCTAATTGCATGAACCAATTGATTTGATTTGGTGGGTCCACTTTGAATTTGAGCATTGTTTATTTATTTGCATTTTCCTATTTGATCCCATTATTGATGGTAGAGAACTACAGATCTCATTTGACAATTTTCCATATTATTTATGGTAGAAGCCTTCCGCACAACTGTAATCTTTCCTGTATAGTCATTTTATGTACTTATTCTATGTTCTAACATCCACTGCAGATCTCTTATCATAATTCAGCTTTTTAGTATGTTAGCATATTCGACAGTACTTTTGAACTTGATAACTAGTTCTTATATAAGATGTTGACTAGTTCCCTTCTTCTACAAGATAGGTAATATAATGATCTAAATGGAAGCACACATTTACACTGAAATTGATAAAAGTTCAATTGATCAGTTTGCTTGTAGACATTGGATTGGATGAGAAACATTTTTCTTTTCATCACACTACAACAAAAAACACATTTTATAGCATTTGATGAATGCTATCAAAAGTAAGCAATAGCATTCGTTGGAATGCTATGTTTGCCCATGTTATTAAAAGTGTATCATTTTTAATAACATTTATCGAATGTTATCGTTGAACGCTATCGTAAATATATTATAACAATTTTTGAATGCTATGAAATAGTTAAAAGTTACTAAAAATACCAAAGGATAACATTTTGTTAATGCTATGAAATTGTTTTTATAGCAATCTAGTAATGTTACGATTTACCATATCATAACTAACTAAGAATGTTATAATAAAGCATGATAATAATCAATGTAACAGCTCTGGACTCCACTCAAATTGGGAAGTCCAATGACATAACTATAAGAAGGCATGTGTTCTGATAGGTGCAGACCAAACCGTTAACCATGTACTAAACCAGGAGACCAACCTCACAAGTGCACAGCCAGATAAAATCATGAGCTCATGGGGTCCTTTGACCCCATTTCCCATTAGGCCACATTATTCGATTTTGACACAAAATAGCCAACCAAATCTTGTAACTTTCTCAATGTTTCTCTCTACCTGCCTTAATCTGAGGTCCTTGGAGCCTTTCAGGACACATTTTTGGCGTCACATTCATTAAATAGTCATAGTCCTTAATACGAAAAGCACATCGTCTCTCACTTCCTCCTACTGCCGAAGTGATCTAAATCAAGCACTCTGAAGAAAGATCAAAAAAATGAATGTAACTCCAATTTATGTTGAATTTGGATGATGAAAACTGTTCTTAATATTTTCTGAGTTCATATTTTCATATATCTTGATTGCAGTTACTTGGTTGGATGCATCGCAAGTTCCGGGCGAATGAACCACTGAAGGATTTTAGTGTAGGTAAGTCATGTATACCCTTATATATTTTTCTGCTAACGCTTTGCTAAAGCAATAATGAAAAGATTGGTGCACATATTAGAGTCAGACTGTAAGTGCAGTATTAAACATAATCATGAGTAGTCATTATAATATTTGTGGTAAGACCAATATAATCTAGTAGCATAATCATTAGATCACTGGAAATTCGATAAGTCAGGTGTTGTTTAGGAAAGACAGCTTCAAAGCAAAGTAGCTGTTACATACCTGGAAATAATTAACCGCATAAGACCTGTGTACTTAGCAACTCTCCATGCCGCATGCTTATTTATAGCTGGAGTACAGCTTCAAGTTCAACTGAATGAACTACATACTGTAAGATTGTTACACTTGACATTCCCTTTGAGTATAAAGCTAATTGTTTTCCCAATCAATATTCCTCCATTGCTATTTCTACACGTCCCGATTCCTGTACTAAAAATTGAGATAATGGTAAGCATCAACAAGCCCATGAGTCATGATCCATAATATTTAAAACAACAGCAAAGCATAATATGCCATTAATTCTTTTGAGATGCATTTGAAAACACAAACCTACATGACATCCCTCCCAACTAACCTCACCATTATCCCAATTATTTAACATTTCTTCTGTCAGGGAATTCTTGTACTTGTCTTTCAGGGCAGCCATCACTGGATGACCAACAGTACTACCCAAAGTCAAATTTTGGCACTAAATCCTTAGGCAAAGCACAAAGAGACAACCATCTGTGAAAATCATTTGCCAGCCTAGAAGCAGCAAGAATAGAAGCAGACGACTTTGAAGAAGAATCTTCAGTTGTGATTTCCGAGCTCTTGCATGGCTTCCTTACCATAGGTACTCTTGGTTCAGACCCAGTCAGCACAGACCCATCAACGCCAACATTTGCCATATCAGTTGAGAACATAACTAAAAAAGAAACAGAAGTAACAGAGAATGAACTGAAGCTTATTAATGATGAGTAGGAGAAGGTGATAGGGGCTGAAGGAGACGGTTGCAATGACTCATCTGGGAGAAACAATCATGTTAGTACTGGAAGAAACATTTATGTTAACACTGGAAGAAGCTGCCATGGTAGCACCATTACACTTAGAGAAAAGCCATTGGAAGGCACAGAGACCAGTGGGAATGGAACAACAATCTGTCCACTCCAGAGCTATCTGTTTGGATCAGCAATTGAGTTGCCAGAAACAACCACAGTGGTAAAGAAGGAACATAGAACATCGCTTGGGGAGCTGTTTCAGAGGACAAAAATAGCAGAGGAAAATTATGTAGCCAAAAGCGAGAGGGGAGAAAAACGGACAGAAAATGAGACAGATAAATCAGCCATACACCTTATGAAAAAGATGCTGAAGAAAAGAATGGTTCATGGTTCTTCTCGGAGCTCCACCACATCAACTGGGGGAAATGTTGACTCTGCTTCATCTGAGACAAAACTGCATAAGGTATGTGTACTTCTAGTTTAGACCTCTATTACATGAACTTGGGTGCAATGCATATCAAAATGCCGGACCCAACAAATCTCAAATTTAAGGTATGCAAACTCTGCAAAAAAAGGTCAATTTTTTTTTAATATTATTTTTAATATATTATGTGAGACAAAATGGAAACATATAGTGTCAAAAAGGCATTTTACTTATTTTACTTCAGTCATTTGATCTATGTAGTGGTTTCACTACGTGGGACTATTGCAAACTTTCTTGGAGTGTTGAGATGCCATTATACCCTTATAGTGTACTGAATGTGCTTGTTCATCTTTAAGAACTTGTTTAACTTAAGTGTTCTCCAGTTACGGTTACATGCTCTCCAGTTACGGTTACATGCTCCCTTTTCTGCCTATGCAACAGGTTGATCGACAATTGTACTTTGTAGTTCTAATTTAAGCTCATTTACTTGACTATGTTAGTCTCATTTATAGGGGCTGCTATGGTTTTCCATGGGTTTTAATACTTCATTGCAAGCTAGTAATGGAAATTTCATTTTTTCATTTCTTTCAGTGATAGGACAAAATATTATCTGTTGGCATCCTTTGTTCTACACATAAAGCATAGTGAGTCCAAGGATTCCGCTGTAAGCCCAAGAATTTTGCTTTTTGGTCCTGCAGGTGAACAAGACCATCGCCTTGTCCTAGAACATTTTACGATCTCTCTTACTCAAAAGAAGTTTGAGTTTGAGTGGAGAGATTTTTGAGTGATTTTTACCCAAATTTAAATTTGATATAGGTTTCAGTCAAGGGTTGGACATGCCATTATATCACTGTGTATTCTATATTTAATTTTCATTTTGAGACTAAATAGTTATTGTTTGCCTTTTATTTGTAAATATATCAGATTTATCATGATATGACAGCTCATTTATCTCACTATTTTGTATAAACGGGCCATAATTTGTATCCAACGGGAAATCAACTAAGGAGTGACTGCAGTGATGTCCCGATCATACAAGCATTGCAGAGAGTTGTTAATTTGAACTGGATATCTGGCCGAATTCCACAAAAGATAATGTCAATGTTCTTCATGGAAGGTAATTGTGCTAATTTGCAAATGGCAGTCAATTCTAATATGGGAATTTTGAACCCCCCAAGTTATACTTTAGGATTATATCTCTATGTGACTTTGTATATGATGGTATCTAGAATATTTTTTACAAATGTGCAATTACCAGTATGTGTATACCCAAGGAGTTGAGTTGTTTTTCTTCTTTCTAAGGAAACTCTGGCCAACCTCCCAAGCGTTCAGAAGTTTCTAGGAGCTCAAATGGAGAAGATGATGGAGAAGATGATGAAGAATGGTCACTGATATCTGAAATGCACTCAAGGTATTTGCACAATTAATATTCAATTGCATTTCTTTTGTAGAACATTAAATATTTGAGATTGGTAGAGCCTCTTAAACTAAGTTGTTGGTTATAGTAAAATTTCTGTTAAACTTGCAATTTATGTGGGTAAAAATTGACATTTTATTTTTACACGCTTCATGTCATGCTAGAGGTATTTAATGTTAAGACATTTGAAGGGGTGTGATCAGTCGGATTTTATCTTTTGTGAGACTAGAACAATCTCTAAAAATAGTTAGTTTATTCATATGCTTCTAGCGGTTTCTGAATTAATTTGTGTTTTCATTTTTCAGGTTAGAAATTTCTCGGTGAGATGCAAAATATGGTCAAAGAATTCAAGAACTTAATTTTGCAAGTTTCTTCATTTTTTAATATATGTAAGCACAGTGTAAAAACTTTTTATTTGATTCCTCTGTATATACTTTTGAACATATTTAACTTTCATTTATGAAATATATGACGTTATTCCATTCAATATGTGATTGTGATTCAAAGTATAGTATATAGTGTGTATTACATTCTTGAAATGCGCGTATAAAAATAATATTGATTATTCTTCAAATATGTCATTCTTTTTTTTATCACAGGTTTTATTAGTTATTAATCACACTTAAAAGATGTGATCTAAATATTATTCATCACACTTAAAAGATGTGATCTAAATATTATTAATCACACTTAAAAGATGTGATGAAATCATTTTTAATGACACTTTAAAAGTGTGATTAAAAATGACCCATTTTAATGACACTCTCAAAGACCACACTTAAAAGATGTGATCTAAATGTTTTTAATCACACTTAAAAGATGTGATCTAAATATTATTAATCACACTTAAAAGATGTGATAAAATCATTTTTAATGACACTTAAAAAGTGTGATTAAAAATGATCATTTTTAATCACACTCCCAAAGACCACACTTTAATAAAACTTAAAAGGTGTGATTAAAATACATATATCACACCAAAAAAGTGTGATCTTTATTTGTATTTGTAGTAGTGGAGAGGCACCCTCATGGGTCTAAGGTATGTTTTTTTTGCTCTGTCTAGTAAGTTAAGCACTTTTGTTATCTTTGAGAGATACTTTACTGACTTGATTGTCGGAGTGCCCCCGGGTGGACGAACCACCGCGGGATTCTTATATTTCTGTGATAGGCCGTTTGGGCTTAATCTATTATGTCAGTGTTCTCCAGTTGAGTGCTTGATTGGCAGTGTGGTCGGAAATTGACACACACGGTAGCTAAAAAAAAATTGGGAAAATAGTTTGGGCGACTAAAAGTTTTGTAGCCATAAAAAAATCAAACATTTGGTGGCTAAAAGTTTTGTAGCAAAAAAAAAAATCGAACATTTGGCGACTAAAATATTTCGTAGCTGAAATGAAAGTTGAAGAATAAAAAAATTTTTGCCGGCAAAAAATTTGGTAGCGAAAAATGTGGGACTTTAGGCGACCAAATGTTTAGTAGCCAAAACACATTATTTGCCGACTAAAATTTTAGTAACCAAAACATAACACTTTAGGTGACTTACTTTTTAGTAGCCAAAAAATTTTGACTTTAGGCGACTAAAATGTTAGTAGTCAAAACACAAGTATTTATTTTAGGCGACTAACATATTTAGTAGCTAAATTTTTTTTTCGCAATTAAATGATTGGTCCTTAACAATAAGTGAAGCTTTTGGCGACAAAAAAAATTGGTCGTCGAAAATGTGCTATTTAATTTTGTTTCGAATCTTTTGGCGACTAAAATTACCTTTCCACGATAATTCTTCTGTGACTACTGTTGCGACCAAATAATTTAGTCGCTAAAAGCCTTCAGCGACTAAAAATTGACTTTTGGCGACTATAAATTAAGTCACCAAAAATAAAAATTCTTGTAGTGCTTAGGGTATTAGAGACGGCATGACCTACCTCTCATATACCTCAAGAGTTTTGAAGGAGTATACCATTCATCTCTAGGTTGGAGTCGAATAAGATGTTAGCCACTTTTCAAATTAAGTTTGGTGAATATCGTTGTGCCACTCAACTAATCTATCAAATCGTTCAATCAGGGAATGGGGAATCTATATCGGATGTAGGGATGGCAATAAGGGGCAATAGGGCGGATATTAATTCTCTATCCCCATTCTCTTATAATAATTTTTCTCCATTCTCTATTCCCCATCTCCTGGAGACTACACACCCCATCCCCTAATGGGTTTGGATTTTTCCCAACCCAACTTGACCATTTTTTTTTTAAAGGTTCACGACCAAAGCTAAATATATATTCAATTTTATTTTATTTTATTTTTTTTGGCTCAACAACAAAATTAAATACATATTAGTTAATTAATTAAAAAATTGATTTTTAAAAGTAAACCATAATAAATAAAAATATAAATAAACCATCTTCTCATCAACAAAGCCTAGGTATAACTCGAAATGAAACAAAGCTAATAATAGGGAAAACAAATTTCAAAAAGTTTTAAAATTTTAAAATAGAACTCCAAAAAAAAAAAAAAAACTAATTTTCTGAATTGATGATAAATAATGATACTTAAAAAGGTTTCATTTACTTTTTGTTTAACATTTTACTTTGAAACAAGCTAACCTTAATCAGGACAAATCGGTAATTCGGTAATTCAAAATGAAGAAAGGCAATGTTAGAAGCACAATCGAAAGCAAATTCATATTTGGTATGAAATACATAGAAGAGATTTAGTAGTTGCAAAATCAGTAAAGCCAAAATTAAAAATTAAAAAAAAAAAAAACGTGAACACACACAACAAATTCAATCATAAATACAAATATATACATACATGAATATATATGTTCCATTCAACCAATTATTGAAGTAGTACAACAATGGAAATAAAAAAAAGAAAAAAAAGAAAGAAAAAAAAAAGTCTTTTACCGGTACATTCAGAACCCTAGCACCATTAAACATAAAACAATAAATATAAAAGCAGTGAGCTCTTGATTGGGACACAAATGGCGATCAAAGCCATGAAAATCAATCAAACAGTGGAATATAGAAAATTAGAAAAATGGTACTATTATATAAAAGCAACAATAATTGATTTGACAATCGATAAAAATTATTTATATCAGTCAATTAAATTAATCATAACGATAAATTAGATTTTATAGATTCGATTACAAAAGAGAAGGCTTTTTTGTATGCTCAAAATAGGATGGAAGAGAAGTCTTCCTTGGTTCCATAAATTATTAAGAGAGAGTAACCATATGGGGAAATGGGCGGGTACCCATCCCCGACCCATCCTCGATGGAGATTTAAAGAACACCATTTACTTGACCCGATGGGTAAGGAAAAGGTGAAAACCCATGTATCTAAGTCAGATCTCCATGGATATTCACAAGGTAGGTTATCTATTGCCATCCCTAATCGGACGGCTGGACTTATGTCCCGAATTAGTTGATCTATTAGGCTAGATGTTGAATTATAAAATTATTATAAAAAAAAGTACAAGTGAAAGGAATTGAAGCAAAGCAACAAAACTAGACATGAGCAAGAATAAAGTTACGACGTTAATAAATCGATCCTTGCATATACCATTATTTGAGCGGTAAAAGAAATGAATCTTTACACACATTAATTAAAACATACATATATAGGTATACGTATATAGGTGTAATTGGTCTTCCCTAAAATCTCATTTCATTTCAAAGATGCATTTCAATCTCCAACTTCAATTTCTAGACAATCCATGACTTGGAAGCTGCGAAACCATCAAACACAACGATCAAGAATGTATTAGACTTGAGAGAAACATAAATGTCATAGGCACAAATTTGAGCTACGCGACCAACTTATGTGTGTTGCAATTTATGCTTGCACGAAGATGTGTTGCAAAAGAGTCGAACTGAATTGAGTTTTTGATTGTTTGAGTTCAATTTATTAAGAATTAGTCAAACTTGGATTCGACTCATCAAGTATTTAAAAAAATTAAGCACAAACTTAAAAAGAAAAATTCAATTTAAATTAATTACATATTAAGAGAAAAAAAATTATAAGTGAAATATAAAAGAAAGTTTATAATAATAATAATAATAATAAATTTCGTTAATCAAAATATGTAAATTTGCAAACACAAATAGAAAAATAAAATATATTTCATATATTACTAAAAATAAATATTTATTTATTTATTATATTTGTATTCAAGAGTCTTATCGAACTGAGACTGGGTCTACTCTAAATGACCCTAAAAACCCAGTTAAAGCTTGTTTATTTAGTAAATGAATGGAACTCAAATTAATTTTAAATAAGTTGAGTTCGAACTTTTCATGAATAACTCTATAGTGATCCCGGTTTTCCCTTTCGTGCTTAACTGTAATCCGGATTCGGTTTCGTGAGGGTGCTGTTGTCTTATCCTCTTTCTATCCCTTTCTCTTTGTGTTCGAGCTTTGGGTTGTGTTGGGCAAGTTGGGAACAAGTTGGTTGTGTTTTTGAACGTAAAATCTTTGCCCAGTTTTTGGTCTCTTCGCTCGAGCGGCGCTTTTGACGCTCGAGCGGGACTCTGTTGTTGCTTGACCGCTCGAGCGGGGGTGTTGGCGCTCGAGCGGGGAAATCACCCATCCAGTATTTCGTCTGCAGTGGTAGACGCTCGAGCGGGAGTTTGTGTTTGACGCTCGAGCGGGAAATCCTGTCTGTATAAGTTCTGGGAGCGTGCATCCGCCGCTTGAGTGGGGGATTGGATGCTCGAGCGGGGATCTGTGAGTGACGCTCGAGCGGGGAGTTCGACGCTCGAGCGGGGCGACTTTTATATAAAGCCGAGATCCGACCTTTTTGTTCACTTTTCAACATCTCTTCTCTCTCTTACTTTTCCAAAAAGCTATTTTGAGAGCTCCTCTCACTAAAACCCTAACTTCTCTCTTAGGATTGATCTAGTAGGAGTTGTTTTCTCACCTTGGGCCTTTACAAAAGTTGTGTTGATCGTCGAGGGCTATCTTTTAATTTGAAAATTTCGAGATTTGGAGCATTTTCGTTTCTTCATCTCCTTCGTTGCGCCCCATCATTCGAGGTAGGGATAACCTACTCCATCTTATGAGCTTTGTCTTTGAATTTTAACATTTTGACATGTTGGGGGTTGTTGGGTAAATTTGAGAAAGTTTGGGCCCTTGTGTAATTTTACAAAAGTCGGGGTTTTAAATATATAAACCTATATGCATGTTAGGCATAGAGAAATGAGATTAATGTTGGGACATTGATGAAAATGGAACCTTAGGGTTGTTTTGTGAGTTAGGGTAATTTATCCTAATTGGTTTAATTAATTAATGCATATAATTAATTGAAGAAAGCGAGGAATTGAAATGAGAATGTTGGAATTGGGAATGTAATGTGATTAAAGAGTGTAGA